CTTAGTCCTTATTATTTTAAATAAATTATTTTAAATTCCTCTCAGTTTGAAAAATCTGAAGATAATTCTGCCATTTTGAAGCTCCCAGAAAAATGGTGTATTTCCACCTAAGGACATCATCATCATGGCTAGGCTTCGCAAACGAAGATTTGGGAAGGGCTCTACCCACATTTGCTACAAGTGTGCTGGTGGCTAAAAAGGCCAATATGAGATAGACAGCTCCAGTTGCAAAAGGCACAACAGAAAGACTCCTTAGGTGGTATCGGCAAGACACGATTCTTTCTGCGTTGTCTTTTCTCCTCGAGAGTGATCCTGCATGCGCTCTCAAAGGAAGCAGCAGCGTTATAGATGGTGTGTCTCCAGACCTCCAGATTGGAGGCCAGAGTAGACCAGTTATGGTGATCAATATGGCCAAGGCTGAGATGTTGTTTCAGGGAGTCCTTGTATCTTCTCTTCGGGGCTCCTCTCTTGCGGCAGCCAGGGGCAAGTTCACCATAAAGCACGATCTTAGGGAGGTGGTGGTTCTTCATCCTGGAGATGCAGGATGTCCTGCCCAGCACAGCTGTGTTCTCAGCAACATGGCCTTAATACTCATAACTGCTGCCTGTTCTAGAACAGACGTTTTAGTGACATAATCTGAGCAGTGGAAGTTTAGGATTGTACGGAGACAGCGTTGATGGAAGCGTTTTAAGAGTCACAGGTGGTGGCGGTAGATGACCCATGATTCGGATCCATGTAAAAGAGTAGACAGCACAATGGCTCTGTAAACACTGATCTTTGTGCTTTTCTTCAAGTGTTTATTTCACCAAACTCTTTTATGGAGTTTTCTGAAAGCTCTATATGCCTTTGTTAACCTGTTGTCTATCTCCTCGTTAATCTTACCGTCTGAGGAGATGAGGCTACCTAGGTAATTAAACTGCTGGACTGATTTGAGCTCTGATTCGAGCTCTGATTCACCAATGGTGATATGGGGATGATGGAAGGCTTCCTGAGGTGCAGGTTGATAGAGAATTCTGTCTTCTTCAAGCTGACTTCCAGCCCAAAAAGCTCAGCAGTGTCTGCAAAGCAGGATGTTAAACGCTGCAGAGCTGCTTCTGTGTGGGTGATGAGGGCGGCGTCATCAGCGTAAAGCAGCTCCCGGACAAGATGGTTTAAGGTCTTGGTGTGGGCCTACGGTTGCCTTAGGTTGAATAGGCTTCCATCAGTACGATATTGAATGTAGATACCATCTTCTTCATCGAGGTCTGCCGTGGCCCTTTGGAGCATCATGCTGAAAAAGATTGTGAATAGGGTTGGTGCAAGAACGCAGCCTTGTTTCACACCATTAGTTATTAGAAAGGGCTCAGAAAGTGCATTGCCATATCTGGCTTGGCCATGCTGATCCTCGTGGAGTGAGATGATCATTTTAAGGAACTTGGGGGGACAACCTGAACGTTCCAAAATCTGCCATAGACCTTTTCTGCTCACAGTATCGAAAGCCTTGGTGAGATCAACAAAGGTTACATAGAGACCTTTGTTCTGTTCCCTACACTTCTCTTGCTTACCTCTGCCTTTTTACAGGCCAGGATATCTTCTAATATCTAGGTGCCTTAACCACTTCCGTAGCATATTCAAGGCAGAACTTTTCAGGATCTGTAGATATTCCTCTGCACTTTGTTCGGAGCTTGTGCCAAAAGCTTGTGGCTCACCATCTTCTCACAGTGCAATTTTGTCATAGGTATCTGTGGCATCTTCTACTGATAACTTGATTTTCCTTCACTGCTTATGCTGCTATGAAGCAACAGGAGATTTTCTGGAACCTTTGTCACTGAGATAAACAAGGGACAAGCGGGTTTTAGGGAAGAATCCCTCATGATACTGTCAATAGCAGCAGGAATATTTCAGGTCAATTTTCTATTTAGCTTGAGCATAATAATGCACATGCAGATGATGTAATAGAAACTTTTTAAGAGAAAGAATCATTCACTTATTGGTTTTTGGTTTTGGGTTCATGTCTGCACTTACTCGTGCAAGCTCCTAGCACCTGGATAGTCCAAAGTGCACAAACATTTCTCTCAAACTGCACTCTAGACTCCTGCCTTTGCAACAGAATCATTTGATCTCCTGAATCATACAGATAGTATGAATGGATTTCATGTAGGTACACAACAGACACAGGTCAGCTAACCTCTGAGCTCCTCCAGCACCTTCGCAAGTTCTTTAAAAACAGAATCTGTATGTGGCAGAGTCAGGGCGCTTAAGGACTCCAAACTTCACTAACTCAAAACAAAAAAGGTTCTTCACCCAGAGAGTGGTCAGATACTGCAACAGGCTCCACAGCGAAGTGGTCATAGCACCAAGGCTGGCAGTGTTTAAGAAGTGTTTGAATGATACTCTCAGACACACAGTGTGACTCTTGGGGATGGTCCTGCGCAGAGATAAGGGTTGGACTCGATGATCCTTGTAAGTCCCTTCCAACATGGCATATTCTGTGATTCTGTGTTTCTGTGAAATTAAAAAAGTCTCACAAAACTAAAACTTCAGAGAGATGTTATAAATAAATAAATAAATAAATATTTTTGCTCTGTACGATATTGTTCTGTAAAAACTCTTTACAGAAGCATCTAGTTCAGAGTAGGCATGAAGAATCTAAACCTAACTTACATACTCTGTGATACAAACCCCATTTTGTGAATTAGAGGAGCACTGGGCAGAGGCACAAGCACAGAATCATGTGGTAAACCAAATGCATTATTTATTATTCAGTAGGGCTTCTGTAACACAATTCTGGACATTGACTCATTCTTTCAGTAAGAAAGAAATTGAATTCTTGTGTGAAGAAAATAAGCTTTCATATTCAGCTACTATGCCAGCAAAAATTGAAACTAACAAACATGAGCTGAAAAGATGTCATAATGTTCTTAGCCTCTGCTCAATAAATATTGACTGAAGTACATCAAAGTGAATGAAGGAAGGTACACAGAGTAATGGTGAAAGATGACACGCAGATTCAGGTTTCTCAGGCCACCAAAGAGCTTGTACATTATAGGCAGCAGGAATGAGAGCTCCCCTTTGCATGAAACTCATCCTCCTCCTGAACATTCATGGCAAACCATTCACACCGCTGCCAGGCTTGGCACTGACAGAGACTTGGGCTGGCACCACCAACACTAAGCTACAATAATCCTTTAAAATAAAATTTGCCATGAGACAACAGGAAGGTGACTCAGAATGCAAGATCCTGTTTTCCACACTTATCTGACCATGAGACCCTGATGGCACTGTCAGTGGTGATGCCCATGAGTGCCAAATCTAATGGTAGTTTTTCTGACACGAAGCCTTTTGGAGACTCAGAGGAAACAGTGAAGACGAGATGAATAGTGTAATTGAAGAATACCCTCTCTCTTCTTTACATCAGACTCAGAGTGTTGGTATAATGTCTGTGACTCTCCTGGAGAGCAGCTTTCTGGCTTCCCACTGTCTGGCATTGTATTCCTAATTCTGCAGCTGAAGTACCTAAGATTGCCTCTCACAGTTCACTGAAATGCAGTGTGATGCCCAAGAGCTGTACATTTTTCTCTACTTCATCTCAGAAATGGATATTAGTCCCTATTACTAAGGCTACCATTGTAAGTCTCTGGATTTTTCAATTCTTCACATAAAGTACAGGGATTGTCTTGGGCTTTCACATGTCACTTCATATCCAGTTAACGATGATTTAAGTTAGTGTAAGTGTATAGGGGAGTATTCTACTTTGCTTAACCTTAAGCAGAATGAATCTTTAAAGTGATGATGTAAAGAAGTGTCACTGATGAGCATACAGCTAAATAATTTTCTCTATTATTCATTTCACACACTAAATCATAGTAGTTTTTACTCTCATTTTTTGCATTTGCTACTTTTCAAGTTAATGATTTGCTTTCCTATTCTAAATCTCTTTTTTTCTAGAAGTAATAATGGAAGTTTTGCGTGAGGAAGCTGGAACTTAAAAGCCGATCAGCAACATGTTAAAGAAATTAAAACTTTGTGGGTGAGTAGAGGGAAGAGTGTTCAGACACAGAGTAAAACTCAGAGTGCAAAGAAGACACTGAGGCTCTCAGCTCCTCTGTGGCCTGAAAAGAACAGCCCCTCTATGGCTTGCTCTGCGTTGGCTTAGTTCCCGCATTACCAGCAAAACAACTGCCTAGCAACCCAGCTTTTCCCACAACATTTCCTGTGTGCCCAGAAAAAAAGTATAGCACCTAATATTCTCTCTGTTTAATCCCCTTATTTGAGAGCTGTATTCAGCCCTCTGTACACATGGGAGCTGTAACTAGCAAGGCAATTGCTGTTGTGTTAGACAGTGCAGACGAAGTCAAACCAGTCCCGTGATCTGTGCTGCAAGTTGTGCAGCAACACTGTGAGCCCTGAGAAGGTTATCTGTTCATCAGACAGACACCAAACTTGCTGCTTCCCTCCACTGCATTTCCCCTAACAAAGGCAGGAAGCCATGGCTGTTAGCAAAAAGGTACTGATATCCTTCCTATTGAGAAACCTGTTTTGTGAACTGCAAGGGAGCTCTCTAGCACACACTTCACAGCCATCGGCAAGAGTCCATTTGAAGGCATAAATAATTCAGTCCTCTAAAAAAATAGTGCTGGTTTGAACATGTGAAATTGCTTTTTCAGTTACTGCCTTTGAGAAACACTTACAGTTATACAGTATAGTTACTAAAAGTTACATTTTCTTTTCTGACATCCCAGCTCCAGCAGCATCTTGCAACTCAGTATTTAAGGTACTTTCCTCACACTTTCAGCACCAGTAAAAGAAAGAGCTGCCCTGAATCTTATGCAGCTGTTTCTGAGCAATATGCTGAGGGGACTGTGGAAAACACAAATTTGCTTGCATGTTCTCTGGAAGCACAAGCCTTCTCATCCCTCCAAAAGACAGCACTGTTGGAGAAGCACTGTAAATAAGCTCTAACTGGCACAATTAAGAAAGCACTCTTAACCAAACATGCAGAAATTAGGGCAGCAACTTACTTGTCGTCTTCATAACTTCCTCAGGAACATTGTCTTTTCAAATGAGTGCAACAGGAAATTGTGGTGATTACGGGTAAGCTGCACGACTGCAGCTCAAACCACCCACTGCAAAGTGCAGAGGCAGTCAGCACTGGATTGGTAAGCAACAACAGACAGCCACCTCCCCTTCTTCTTGTACTTTGCATATAAATCTTAAAATGATGCCATGTGGAGAGAGGTGACTTTAACAAAGATCTACATGTCATATGTCTGAAAAGACTTTATTACTCATGATAGTTCTATGCTCAGAATAGCAATATAAGTAAGCAATAGCACTCACCGCTGTGAAGTTCTCTGAGACCTACAGATAAAAAGCATCCTAGGCCTGCTACTGTTTAACACTGATTTTATCTGGACAGGTGTTCACTGTCTTTATTAAAGGCAATACTGACCTTTAATTCTTCTTCATTACATGGGGATGAACTTGGACCTTCTTGCCCTGTATTTTGCTGCAGTGTGGTAGAGAAGCAATGTGCACACTCATGGGACAAGTAGGTCCAAACGCAACTCCACACATCCTTGCATTCTCTACTGAGGCAGAACTGTGCCCATAGTGAATCAGGACCCTGCTCCTGCCTTCTTACAACTGGGTTTCATAGTAGGGCAAGCAGCTCACTGAAACCGTGCCAGTGTCCTGCAGCCTTTAAGACTGGAACTACAATCTCTGTTTTGTTTCTGAATTAGCATCTGACAGATGCAGAAAGCTGCCACTAATATCCAGCTCACAGAAAAATGTATGTAAGACTGGGAACTGAGGGAAAAGCTCTGATAACATCAGATACTGCAGACAGTTTGGCATGTCTTTAATAACTGTATTGCCTCACAAGGGTTTATACTTTCAACTCTATATTTTTGTCAACATCAATTTAACACCCACTGGATGGTTAGATAAGGTAGAGATTAGCAGCAGAGCAACAAAATATTCATGCAAGTGGATGAAATATTGATAACTAAGTTGTAATTGCAAGAACACCTGAAAAATCTTGCAGAGATGGTGTAGTTGGAAAAGACAGGAGAACCACAGAAAAGAGTAGTTGTACAGGATTGCTGAAGGGCAGATCTAACCTACAGAACCTGTGTTTCTGGGCATGAGTCGAGAAATTTGCAGAATGCCTCTAGGAACTCCTAGCTTTGTAAGCTAAGTCAGCTCCGTGACATAAACTCCAGGAGGTCCTGCTTACATAGCTACATGTCAGACTAAAATTCACTGGAGATGCACATGTAAAAGGAAACATCTGTGCCAGCAACTAAAGCAAGTTAGCAATGCTCTCTTGCATAACACAAACAAAAGGACATAGAGGCTCCCTGAAGGAAAAGTTTTACCTAGCTTCAGTGAAATGCATCTGGTTTCTTTGCATTTTGCCCGTTAAACATTAGAAAGTCTTTCCTCATTGCATCTGCAGATAGTCTGAGCAGCAGTGTCTGGAAAAACATAGTGTGAACTTCTATAGAATCCCTGCCTACACCAAGTGCACCTGCCATGAGGGTTATCTCATACCTTAGGTAATTTTTCCACTTTTTGAAGAACCTGCAAATGCAGGCAAAAAATAGCCACTTCCCCTCCCCCACACTACCTCCACTACCATGTTATCAGCAGATAACTGCAGCAGATGACTTGACAGGAGTGCTGGATGTTACTAGCTGACTGAAGGGAAAAGGCTAGCACCTGACAAGTCAGACATCTCTGCAATTGATCCAGAACTAAAGGTCCTTTTGTCCTTGAGTTTCATCCTCTATTTCTTCCCTGGGTTCTTCTTATTGCCTTAACCCTCTATTTCCTTTTCAAGTGATTCTTCCCTTTCTAGCTTCTTCACTTCACTCTTATTCCTAGAAGCACAGAATCATAGAATGGTTTCTGTTGGAATGCACCTTTAAAGGTCATGCAGTCCAAACTCCCTGAAGTGAGCAGGGACATATTCTACTAGCTCAGGTTGGTCAGAGCTCTGTCCAACCTGACCTTGAATATTTCTAGGTGTGGTGCATCCACCACCTCTCTGATTGTTTCTCTTTCTCCCCATATTCTTCCCTTCAGTACAGACTATATAGTACAATCCTTTATCATTGCTCTCTCCCTTCTTTCCTTGCCCCCTCCACCCACCACTTTTTCAGGTATAGCCATCATTTGTCTTCCTTCAGTTTAACACTGGTAACTCCTCTGTGGAAGTTCATCCAGCTGTCCTGTCCTCTTTCTCTTAGCCCATCACTCTGGCTAAGGATTGCCAATTATTTTGAGCTGTACTGCATGGATGTAACTGAATTGCAGTGTGATAGGGGTAGAGAACCCAGATGTGACATGCTAGGGACCAGCTGCCCAAAATAGTGTTTATGTTGCAATACGTGGCTCTGAAACGATTGACTTTCTATTTAACTTCAGAGCCCCAATCTTTGCATGAAACCAGAACAGCTAAAGGAAAGAGGCACCTGAACTGTTACTAACAAGGAATGCTTTCAATCCAAGCTCTGTGAGGGGCTCAGTCACTGGTTCTGGTGGTTGGGTGTTTGACCAGCTGCCAGTAAGATCCCCTTGAAATGCTGGGTGTTACATACCTGGCTCTTCCCTGAAGGCAAGCACTGCCATCCCCTATACTCACAGATGTGAACTCTGTGTGGCAACTGGGCACCCATGCCAGTGCTTTTTCACACACGTTGCAGGCACTACCATCAAAGACCTCCAATTTTTAATAATCCACTCCTCAGATCAGTATATGGAAGGTCCATATTCCATTTTTACCTCCTCAAATTGAAAGTGTTGCTCTTTGCACTGAATATTTACACATTTACACCGAGTCTCTCCTTGATCCTGATGTTTAAGCATTCACCTAGGTTTGGGGAAACCCATTTATTGGTAGGATATTTAATGTTAATTATTTGCAAGAGTAGACAGAGGATCCCAAGCCTTCTGTTCCTCTCCCAATCTAGACAAGTGGTCTAGTTATGAAGTTACTAATTATTTCATAAAGCTGTCCTATTTTACAATAGAAAAGATTAAAACTGCCTCATCCTATAGCATTATGTAGCTAATTTAAGCATCCATAATAGAGGTGAGTTCAAAAACTCATGGACAGAAGATGAACTTAACGCAAGTTTTTGAACTATTATTTAAAGGTGAAATTATCTTGCACATTGAACCAGATTAATTGAATACCAAATGTACCTAGTCTTACCACTCAGTTCAGTGGCTATTTGCTCAAAATAGAGATCTCAATGTAGCTTAGCTACATGCACTGGGTAGCAACAGACTGTACACAAAACATACACTTAACTCCTTAGGGAACTTCACTGCTGGAAAGTTGGCACACAAAAACTCCTCTTTGTGTTGTGCAGAAGTACTGCAGGGGTTTTGAAGATATAAATTTTTAACTCTGATACCCAAGTCTTTGTTTTTCTGATGCAATACACTTGTGGCTAAATGAAACACTGAAGTATATTTCCTTGCTAGAAGTTCTATCTTCCCCTGAGATTAACGAGGTTTACTCACTGCCATTTTCTCTTGTGATCCAGACAATTGTTTAGATAAATATTGTGGAGGTAAATATTTATCTTGTTACCACTGATTGCATTTGGGTAATGTTAAGACATCACCTGCCTGCAAATGCCTCCACTGCATTTCTACTACTGTTTTCAGTTGGTAAGACACCTTGCTGTCCTCACTCAAACAAAGATTACTGAAAATACAGCCATTTTTTCTTTGCAACAAATTCTAACAGTTCCAGAATGAACAGATCAGCTAAACCAGATCTGTAGTTCATATCTATAATTTACATCTGAAAATGGAGACTGTGCAGGTTCACTGGATGGAGACACAAATACCTGAGGACTAAATAATTACTCTAAACAGTCTGTTTTGATAAACGTTGCCTGAAATAAAACCAAACCACAGAAATTCATATTGAAATCTTGCTTCTCTAGAGCTGATAATACCATCTATAGTAAATAGGTGTTTATGCAAGTTTATTTTTTGAAAGAATAAGGAACTGTTTTGGAGTTGAGCCTTATTGTTACGCAAAGTTCATTCTTTACATTAGCTATTCTCATTAATGGACAAATTCCTGAGCAACATTTTTAAAATACAGTTATTGCTTCTTATTTTGTTTCTTTAATTCAAACCATGTGGCTTCACTGTGGGGGAAGAGACAAGGGTAAATATAAAACCAAGCATGGCATCAAGTAGGTCCTCTTTTTTAGAAAGGGAAACATTTTCATTTGAAATGCCCTTTTTAAGGAAAATCCTCTCAAGAAGATCTGAGTAACAGAAATGTTTCAGGGCTGCTCCTCCTCCACTCCTCGTAAAGACATGTTTCCCACAGTATGTTTGCAAGTTATTTGCAAACTGTATATCTGAAATCAATACAAGACACCTCCTTTTCAAATTCAAAACTGATTTCTGGCCAGTTAAAAAACAATGTCCTAACAATTCCTTGTCATCTTTTCAGAAGATTTGTTAACACAGCTGGAAATAATCACTCATTCAGCAGGAATCCCTATATTGCATCTTACGGGGGGGGGAAAAAAAAGAAAAGCAGAAAGGCTATCCCTGACCCACTAGAATGACTCAGGCCATTGGAAAGGAATGATTAGCAAACTAAGATGACTTTTTCAAATGTGGCCACACTGATATTGTGCTGCAAAAATATGTACAATACAAAGAAAAGAAATCCCATTTGTTTTATTGACCTCAGCAAGAATACAACGTATGGAATCTCTGTGAGATTGCTGTATTTCTAGCATTTCCAGCTGTGATCTCTCATGGCTGTAACTCCTCTTAGCACTCAGGGCAATTACTTAACTGTACAATACATTTCTTTTACTTCACTTTGTCAGTTCCATACCTGTTTATTTTGACCTTATGCAGCCTAAGCACTAGTTCAAAATCCATTGATTTAAAGTATGTCTTTACACAGAAAATGTTCAGGAAGGGCCACACTTCTGTGGCTTGCTCTTCACAGACTTTCTCTTAATCTCACTGTTTTCACTGACAATGTTAAGTTT